TGGCAGCAAACAAACCACGAGGAGCCCCGGCTTTTACAGCATAACCGGAACCAGTTCCTTTATGTCCTTTCCGCCCAAGGGCAGCGCGCTTCCCCCTAGAATAGTACTCGAAAAGACTGATCCGGATCGGCCGGGCGAATTTCTCGCTGAAATGCAATCTTTTCGAGGCCATAGCCCACTTTAGGACACTTGTCCACACGTTTCAAGCGCATCTCCACGCAACACTCTCGATTACAGGTATTGTCTATCGAGGAATTGACCCTGGGGAGGGCTGGTAGATCAGGTTGGATGGGAAATGGGAGCGGAACTAGTTCCGGGGATGTACTTCCCACGGAAATTTTTGGATAGCGGAGCTTTAAAGGGATTGGTAAGCCAAAAATATGGATTTTTGCTACAGGTTTCAATGGATTTCCCCCCGATTGTCACACCAAAAATTCACGATAATTTTCAACCGAGAAAAGTCGTCTTGGTAACTCTTAAAGGGACCGGCAAGACATGGTTTTAAGCTATAGATTCCCAAAAGATGACAATTCCCGGAATAAGCAACCCTACGCAACGCATGAAAATATCTTCTGGCCACGGCGCGCCGCGACACGCAACGCGCGCGCCGTTTCCGGTTGTGTACGGCTTTTACGGACCACGCGATGGTAAGGCGGTTGCGGAGCGTTGCGTATCGCGGATAAAATTTAAGGTACGTATGTATGGTAATTACGGAAGAGATGATAGATAGCTAGAGAAAGATAGAAAGAGAGAGAGAGAGAGAGAGAGAGAGAGAGAGAGAGAGAGAGGAGGGGAGAGAGAAGGGCGAAAGGGGGGGTGACAGAGGGAGGCGAGAGGTGGAGGGAGACCGAATGAGAGAGAGAGAGAGAGCGAGTGAGATCTAACTCAAACGAAATTCAACATTTAGATTCTGTTAAATCGGCTTAAAAAACTACTATCAGTCCTTGATGACACCAAGTACAGCCCACATTCTCCGTATCTACCCCCGAAAAGCCTAGAGTCAAGCGGAAACTGGTCGACTCCATTCGCCAAAATGCCCAGACACACCACCCGTCCATACAAATGGCAACCCCCAAAAAAACGACCGGCCAACGCGCGAAAATGCCATCCCATCAACGTCTCACGAAACAAAAAAAAGACCATACCGGCTAAACTGTCGTCAAAAATTCCCGTGCTCCTTTCAAGGACGACAAATTGGAAAAAAATCGAGGTGGGAGGATTAGAAGTGTCCGAGTGGTGGGATCGATCCGGTGGATGTGGACGTTCACCTTTTTCGGGTGGTTGTAGCCGGTTCTACGCCTTGAATGCCCCCAACCCGACCAGGCAAAGGCTCTAGATCGCCCGCCCAACACACGACATTCCTGCATAGTTTTCGGAGCCTCAGAGCCGCGGCTCCTCGAGAAGGGGAGGAGGATCGAATCGGAATTATCACGAGGTCGGGCTCCCCTCGAAATCTGGGGGATTACGATGAGATTTACGGTGGTTTGATAGACAAAAAGAACTGGAGTTTTCGTAAAAAGGTATCATAAATCTTGGTAAATGAAGAAAATTAAATTATGCTCCTGACAGCCTCAAAAGCACGACCTTGATAGCTATTAATTGCCTGATATATCGCCGTTCAAGTAACGACTAAACTTTAAAAGTAGACACCAAACTACGCAGAGAAACGCAGCGTTCATAGGCATATACGGAAGAGAACGAAACTTTTAAGGGTTTTTCAAAGTTTTTAAATGAATCCGCCTCTTTTTAAACGCGTTTAATTCCTTACTCCAATTAATTTTAAGTTTTACTCGCGCCAAAGCTGTCAAAAAAAGGTGAAAAGCGCAAAAAATAAAAGCGCGCCATTGGAAAAACTAAATCCGCGATTGAGCTGAGTACAACTCATGAGTTATCCCTCTAACAACCTGCGAATATTTTTAATTACTGCTAAATCTTATAATCTGGCTTTAAAACATAAAACACGTACAAAACATAAGTTTTCCATATTTACACAAACAATTTCTGGCATGGAGAACCCGGTGTTTCCGACAAGAAGAAGGCCCGAAATAGTTTGCGGACTGCACAAGAAAATACAGCAAGTTCCCGGTGAAACTGATGTCGTTTCAAAAACAACGTGCAACCGAAAGGCGCGGATGGCAGCTGTTGATTGTGACCCCCGTATATCGATGTTTTGGCGCAGGCTTTTTGCCTTGGGCAAAAAACGGGCTTTGTTTGATCCATTAAAAAGAAACCCCGCAAAAGAGTTAAATTTTCGAGTTACTAAAAAAATAATAGCTTCAAAAACAGCTTACTTAAGTAAAAAAGACTAGAAATTATAAAAATCGTCAAGAAAAATATCTAAATATGCATCCAAATATTCAAATGTCATATTTTTTTTATTTTCTCCTATTTTGCGCAGCATCCCCTATTCCGCAACCCAGAAGCGGAAACGTTCGATTTTTTTTCATAAATAAATGCCTTCAAAAGCAGCTTAATCCATGAAAAACTAGTAGAAACTATAAGAAAACCTATTGAAGAATATTTGGGGAAAAATTTTTAGAGAAAAAAAAAAATTTTCCCCAAAAAAAAAATAAAAAAAAAAATATTTTTTTTAAAATTTTTTAAAAAAATTTTAAAAAAAAAAAAAAACAAAAAAAAAAAAAAAAAAAAAAAAAAAAAAAAAAAAAAATAAAAAAAAAATAAAAAAAAAGGGGGAAAAAAAAAAAAAAAAAAATAAAAAAAAAAATAAAAAAAAAAAAAAAAAAAAAAAAAAAAAAAAAAAAAAAAAAAAAAAAAAAAAAAAAAAAAAAAAAAAAAAAAAAAAAAAAAAAAAAAAAAAAAAAGAAGGATATCTCTACATTTATCAAAATATTCATAAGCTACTTCGTTTTATTTTTCCTATTTTCCGCCGTTCCCCACGTTCCGAAATACACCCGAAAACGCGCACCCACCCACCCGACGGAACACATATGCAATAAATGCACTGATAGAGTACATCGAGGGTGCATGCTAGGTGTTTGTGCAAAAGCCGCGCCCGGCACACACACTGGTGTAGAAATTCAAATAGGCAGGCCTCGGCGGGAGAGAGAAAGCGAGCAGCATGGCTGTTTTCTACTCGCTACGTGTTTACCACAACATGTCGAGGGCTAGAAATACGGCATTGAGGGAGTGGAGGGCATGACGAGTCGAGGATCGCATCGACTCGCCTTGGTTTGGCTTGGCTAATTGGAATAAAAATATTTTTTCGGTCGAATTTAAGAGTTTTATTGTCAAAAATGACCAATTTTTATGAAGTCTACAATCCTTTTTAAGTGCGGATAAGCAAAAAAACGGAACCATAAACTGTTGGGCATAGCGCGGATTTTTAGTTACTGTTAGTTAGCTGGCTGTCTGATGAAAAAATAAAGTAATACGCTGATTACTACTAGCTCCAAACTAGCACGGCTAGACGAAAAGAGTAAGTACAATTGCTAGGAGTTACGCGGATCCTTAGTATCGTTAAAAGCCTTTTATTCAGCACGACTAGGTAAAAATTAAAATAAATTATTAGGCTACTTCCCAATTGTTTTCTTTATTTCAATCGACTAAGCAAAACCTTTTTATTTTTTTATTTTCCTTCTCCCCTGGTTTTTATCAATCCGCTGTATCAACTAAAAATATAGTCTGGTAAAAACTAGCGGCCCCAAAACGTGCTGCAACACCGAGACAGCACAATATTTTGGCAAAAGTCGCACTTTGCTAACGCATGGATGGTGTTGCTGCCAGCGCGTTCCGGGCACTATTTCGTATGCTGGTAAACAAGAGTGGGGTTTAAAGGCCAAGACATAGCCGAAAAACGTTCCTCATTGACAGTTGGCTACCCGAATTATCATAAGGAATCACGTAAAATAACTTTTTATAAAAACAAACTACATATCGACGTGATCGGCCGAGGTCAAACCACCGACAAGGTCGGAAAAGGGTCGGGTTCGCCTGTTTAGAGAATTTTTTTGGAAATACACAACGCGAAAGATCGTGTAACAAACATGTCAAATAATGGGGAGAGAGAGAGCGAGAGAGAGAGAGAAGGGAGAGAGAGAGAGAGAGAGAGAGAGAGCGCGCGCGAGAGAGAGACAGAGATAGAAAACGAGTGACCAACCAGGGCAGATACTGGCCCTCAGCAACCCCGTAATACCGAATCATTCGCATCGTCCGCGCGGCGAGCGCGCGCTCCCCGCGAGCTCGGGCTGACCTACTTCGGCGGTTTGCGATGCGGCTTTTTTAATCCGGGTGAGCATTGGCGGCCCCTTAGGCTCAAATCGCGCCGCCGCTAAATTGGCTTTCGTTTCTTTGGGCTTTTCGTGTTCGCTGTTTGAATACCTGGCCGGATTTCAGTAGAATTGGGTTTCGGGCGCGGTTCTGTGTTTCTTTGGGGGCGATGTTGAGAAATTGAGAATTACATGTGCAGAAAATTCAAAATCTTTTTATTTTCGTTCGAAAAAATTTTCAGGAAAAAAACTTTTTTCCGAAAAATACGGCTGCTATAACGCTAGAATACTCTGTCCGTGAAGTGTATCATTGCGGAACACGAGGTGCAGATTTCGTCGTATTCGTTTCGTTTATTCACTCGTTTTTCCTGGATTCGCTGAATTTTAAAAATGTATGCTTTTTGGTTGTATATTTCTTGGGGTTGAAAATTCTATTAGTTTTATCAAACCTATTGAGCGATTGGGTTGGGTGCACGGTCTTGCTGCATAGAACGCGCCCCTGGGAGAGTATGTTGGCGGGCGGTTACAGCCATTCGCCAAGCTCATGACCGAGAAATTTCGCGGCAACCCGGATATCAACGTTGTAGTTGTTTGTTTCATTCATTTCTAGCCCTGCCGAGGTCGGCTATCCCCAAAATTTTATAAATTAAGTTTTTAGGTCATTAATTTTATTGCTCCAATCGCTTTCCCGACATCTACTATAGATTTTGCTTTAATTTTCCGATTATTTTCGTCACCTCTCTTCAAATCCCATCAATTTCCGCTTTTCAGAACATGTCCGGACGGCAAGGCGGAAAGGCGAAGCCACTGAAGGCGCCAAAGAAGGACAACAAGGATTTGGACGATGACGACATCGAGTTCAAGAAGCGACAACTTGAAGAAAAGAAGAAGCTCGCCGAAGCAGCGAAGAAGGCCGGCGAGAAGGGACCCCTCGTTGGCGGTGGCATCAAGAAATCCGGCAAGAAGTAACGACGCTATCAATTGGAGACCAACATATTTCACTTTGCTGTAAATAAACTATTTGATTCGAACACTGTGCAGGAAATGAATTTTGCCTATTTTAGCACGTGTATCCGAGTCATGATATTGGGCGAGGCGACGATTATTTACCATGGTTCCTCTACTAGTTTTCCTAGCGTATTTTTGTTTTTGAGCCATGACCGGCGGGCGATGATTGTGGCTGAAAACAAGGGCTAGAGGGGTGCCGGCGTAGAATCGTGTTTTGCTCAATTTGTGTATGGGGGGCTATGGAATAGTGTTTTCGGGCGGACGGCGTTTGGCCCTACATATTCGGGCGACTTTATATTGATTTTGGGTGTTTAGGAATATTTTACTCCTTAGATAAGTCCGTCTCGGGCCCTCAGGAGTATCATGATATTTAGTAGATGACCCATTTTGTGGTGGATTTTCTTTTTTCTGACGAATCTGCAGTGTTTCCGCCTGGCTTCATTTGCAAGTTTTATAGGTTCGTAAGATAATGCGGCATTAGTAAAATCTGTTTTTCTGCTTTTCTTCTACCCGGGTATACCCTATTCTTAGGATTGACCGATTTCGAAGATCTCTCCCGAAGCGCAAGCTGTTTCTCTAAAGCCGATTTCGAAATAATCTATCTTGTTTCTATACGAAACCGTCGATTCTTTATGGTATATACGTGTGTTTCGAATGTCTACCCATCGCCCAGCACTTTCTCTGCGTCTCCCCGCCCACACCCAGTCGCCTCCCCGGCTCAGCCGTTGGACTCAGACTATCGACCGCGCCCGGATCAGCCCGTTTTCCCCGTTCCTTCCGTTTTCTATAAGCTCAAATCGATTTCTTTACTAGAATTATCAGTATTTTTCAGATGGCCGATATAGTGGGACCACTACGCCCGTCAGACTCCTGGTCTACGACAGAGGTTTCGACATTCTAGCCGGGCTCATCGCGTAAATATTTTTCAGGTGAAGTCGATCCAGCACAGCCATGTGTGGAACATCCGCGGCTTTTCGCAATGCGAATGCCGCTACCTTGAGACGGCTGTGAAGGTTCGGGAACAGGTAAAAACATCGTATTTCGCTCAATGTTTTTGTTTGTAGACGCTGCAACTGCCGACTTCTGGCCTCGGCGTCAGCGATCATGGCACGATGGCCTTCCGGATACGACTTCATCCTCAAGGAAATAAAGAGAGCAACAAGGATTTCACCTTCTTCCAGGTATTTTTTATCTACAGTTTGCTGGCCTTTTCGTTTTTCGCCATCTGCTGTTTATCCGTGGACATTCTCCTTTCGGGCCCGTAAATTTATCAAAACAACCCTGTCTATTATTCGGACGGGGCCGCGTTGATGCTATTATTTTGCAGCACTCGTCAATTGTTTTAGGTTTTCTGCAGCGCCAACACTGCCCGCTACAAGGCCAAGTTCACCGTCTTCAACACGCGCAACGAGGAGATTCCGACCACCATTTACACCGGTACTCAACAGGTAATAATAGGGTTTCTATATCACAATTGTTGTTTTTCTAGCTTCACGGTTATTTCGAGTACATTCGCCGTGACCTACTCGTTTCCCACATCGCGCCACATGATGAATTACAGGTTTTGAAAATGTCTTATACTAATTTTTGGTGTTTTAGCTGGTTCTTACCCTGACCGTGACTTTCGACACCGTCACCAAATCCTCTCAAAACTCGGCGCCCCGTCCACCATTCCCGGAGGCACGCCCGGCGGAAGTTACTCGCGATCTTGAAGCCATCTTCCGTGACCCAAGGCTCTCCGATTTCAAGATAATGGTTGGATCCCGTGAATTGCAAGTACACAAGGTATTTTATTTTCTGGCGACTGGTAATTTTGTCTTGATAAGGTGATTGTCGCCGCCAGGTCACCGTACTTTGCCGCATTGCTTGAGCCCCACACCGAAGAGTCGAGGACGGGCGTGCTTCGGTTGCACGAGGAGGATGTGGATTATGAGGTGAATATTACTTTTCAACGTTATAGTTGATTAGCGGCGAGGGAAACTCTTAACTTTTCATCTGGTTTAATACGATTTTGTGTCTGAACTTCTATTACAATAAAACTACCCCTCTAACGGTCCAGAACGCTATTTTTGGTTGATCTTTTCAAATTTCGTTTAGTTTATTTTTGGTTTAATCTCTACAAACCCCTAGTTTTTAGGTCATGAGCGAGCTCGTCGCCTACATGTACACTGGACGCTGTCATCGCCTCACCGACATGGCACTTGAGCTGCTCGCCGCCGCCGATCGATTTGCCATGCCGGGACTGAAGGAGGTGGCCGAGCAGAATCTGCGCGCCACGCTCAGCATCGACGGCTGCTGCCGCTCGCTGATGTGCGCCGACATCTATGGAGCAGCTGACTTGAAAGCTGACGCGGTGCGCTTCATCACGCAGAACTCGTCGACCGTAATTCAGGTACGCACATATTCTGATTACTTTTTACGCCAATTTTTCTTTTAGACTGACGGCTGGCAGCATATGGTCTCTTCCAAGCCCGAGCTCGTCACCGAAGTCGTTCAAGCCATCTCCGACATTACGAGCAGCACGCCCCATCAATCAAGTAAGGGCTACTCTGTTTGTTTTTAAAAAAATGTAGCTGGTTGTAATTTTGAAATTTTATAACTTTAAAAAAGAAGAAATTTTTGTATAGTACCTGGTGATCTTCCGCGAGATTTGTTCATGTTCAATTTCCAATATATAAAAATTCCGACACTATGAAGTTTTCACATTCTGCTAGCAAATCGGACTGGGTTTTGTATAGAAACATCCAACTTTTTCAGGTTCCTCAAGCGTCGAGCCGCCTTCCAAACGACTTCGTGTCCTCGGCCCAGCTGACTTGCGCCGTCCCTAGCAGACAACTCCTGAGATACACACATGCCTCTAGTCCACGCTTAATATATCCGTGATCTCTTTGTCTGCATATACATACTCTTTTTTTGCCCCGCTGATCATTCCCCTTCAACACAGTTCACATTGCCTTTCTCGCGTTGGTGCTTGTGTGTTTAATAATTGACAGTCTATCCTAAGGGCCATTTACTGACTTTCACTGAATTCCACGAGCGCTCGCCTCGTTGTTCGCCAAGCTCAATTTGCTGCGTTTCGCCGGCTTGGGCCGGCCTATATACATACTTTCTCTCTTCTCGTGTACTACTGATACGGTTGAAATGATTTGATAAATGTTAAAAAATTCAAAATAACGCAATGTTATGTATGAGTTGACGGACGAGCTATCTTTGTGGTTGCGGTCTACAGAGTGGTTGTTTCATCTCAGAATCGACTGAACGGGAAAACTTTCAGTTTATGAACAACGGCGAGCCAAAACGGGCCAAGATGAGCCCGGTCTGCATTTTGGGCATCGAATCTTCAGCGAATAAAATTGGAGTTAGTGCTTATACAATGAAGAAGGTCTATTTTTATCAGGTCGGGATCGTTCGGGACGGCGAAGTGCTTTCAAATCCACGCGCAACATACATTCCCCCTCCTGGAGAAGGTTAGATATATAATGTTTTAAAAACCAGTTTCTTTCCTTGTAGGTTTCATCCCAATCGAAGCGGCCAAACATCATCGAAATAATGCTCAACGACTTATCGATCTCGCTATTAGCGATGCTAAAATCGAGGTAAGGGGAGAATTGAAGCCAATTCGTCGGTTTAGAACCCGGAAAATGACATTGACGCTATCGCCTACACGCGCGGGCCCGGAATGGGGCATTGTCTTGAGGTGATTTTTCCAAAGTTTGGCAACCATTTTCTTACAGGTTGGAGCCAAGGCAGCCCAAGCGCTAGCAGAAAAACTTGGAAAACCGCTGATACCCGTCAACCATTGCATCGCACATATTGAAATGGGCCGACTAGTAACTAAAGCTGCGAATCCTACAGTGCTATACGTTTCGGGCGGAAATACCCAAGTATGTCGAAGTAGTCATGGTTGTACTTTTGATCTAGGTGATCTCCTATTCTAACCAGAAGTATCGAATCTTTGGTGAAACCCTGGATATTGCCGTCGGGAATTGCCTGGACAGATTCGCGCGGATTATCGACTTATCCAATGACCCGGCTCCTGGATATAACATAGAACAATTCGCGAAGAAAGGTGACCCGTATCTTCTTAATGAATGTAGATTTTGAGGCGAAAAATTCTTTGAACTTCCTTATGTGGTAAAAGGCATGGATGTCTCTTTGTCTGGGATTCTATCGACGATGGAGGCTAAAGCCAAGGCTTTGATAAAGAAGGGCGAATACAGCAAGGGAGATCTCTGTTTTTCGCTTCAGGTGTGTTCAAATCTTCATGAAGAAGACCTTTTGTTTAGGAAACGTTATTCGCGATGTTGGTGGAGGTTACCGAAAGAGCGATGGCGTTGAATAAGAGCGCTGAACTTTTGATTGTTGGCGGCGTTGGATGTAATTTACGACTTCAGGTATACAGTAGCGTTATTAAAAACTAGTTTTTTCCTAGGAAATGGCCGCTGATATGTGCAAAGAACGTGGGGCCACGCTATTCGCCACCGATGATCGCTACTGCATTGACAACGGCGCCATGATCGCCCACACCGCCTGGGAGATGTACCACGTCGGCATGGTGCCAAAGGAAATTTTTTTGTCTTTGATTGATTAAAATCTCTTAGGACGCCAGCGACTGTTCGGTCACCCAACGCTTCCGCACCGATGACGTTGATGTACTGTGGAGAGAGGACTAAACTTTTTTTACTTTGTTTTGTTGATTTTGAAATTTTTACAATTTTATGGACGATGTTTGGAATAAAGTTACGTATATATTTTCGAAAGGCGCCTCATTACGCTAAAGACGAGTGTTGCTTGTTGGAATGGTTTTAACTTGATAAAAATTTATTGAAAAAAATTATATTTTGTTTAGGCTATTTGCATCTAGAGTGGATCAATTACAAAACCTGCTTTCCTAGAGCGTGGCCCTCATTTTTATAACATTTACCCTATCAAGGTCAACCCTCCATTGATCGATAGCCTCGGGTAGATTAGCACCCGTTTACCCCCGCAAGGGCTAGCCGGTTTTGGAGGACCGCCATCTCGTAGCCTGGTCATGCTGTCTGGGCTACACTGGGGGCAAAGTCCGTTCCTTCCGTCTTTTTCGGCAAGCCATGCCTCCCAATTACACAGTGCGATGACGCGGGTTGTTTTGAGCTCGGTGCTCTTCAACCCCAAACTCGGGGGTTCCAGGGGGAGCGCCAGTTCCAATTTTTGTATTTGGTCGAACAATTAAAAATCATTATCGCGGGGGGTCAAAGTCTAAATTCTCGTTGGCTTCCTCCCCTTATCAATGTCTCGGCTTTTGGCCTTCCATTTCCGCTGTTATTTTCGGGTACTTTGAAACTTGATTCTTACGATTCCTTATTTCTTACGATTATAACTGGCGCTTTTTCCAGGATGTTGTCAACGATGCGTTCGGCGTTGAGGCCTGTGTCGGCGCTCAAGACCTTGAGGTTTTGTATAACTAAAATTCGCAAGCTTTGATTTTCAGCAATGTCTCCGTGCGTAGCGTCTCTGCCGCCGCCGAGAAGAAGGAGCGCAAACCGGTGGAGACCTCTTCTTTCGCCATGAACATCTTCCGCGGCAAGGCCCAGCTCGAGAATGTCTTCCCCTACCCGCTCAACTTGAACGAGGATCAGGTTCATTTTGATGAATCGATGTATTCATTTTCTTCTAGAAAGAAACCCTCAACATGATCGTCGAGCCGACAGAGAAGTTCCTGTCGGAAGTCAACAACTTGCTCAAGTAGATTGATTCTTTTCTGTCAGGACCGTTTTTTAGAAACGACGCTGAAGCCTCACAATCGCCAGAAATTCTGCGTCAATTCGGCGAGCTCGGCGCTTTTGGAGCCCTGGTTCCGGCCGAATATGAGGGAGCCGGCCTGAACAATTCGCAGATGGCCCGCTTGGCCGAAATCGTTGGAGCCCATGATTTGGGACTAGGAGTGACGATGGGTGCTCATCAGGTACATTCTATAGACAACCTGAATGTATCACTATTTTAGTCGATCGGCTACAAGGGTATCCTGCTCTATGGTGACGAGAAGATGAAGCAGAAATACTTGCCCGATCTGGCCACTGGCCGCAAGTTTGCCGCTTTTTGCTTGACGGAGCCGGGGTCAGGATCTGATGCTAGCGTAAGCTTTGACTTACCTTTACTAGTATGAACTCTTTTTAGTCTATTACTTCGACCCTCAAGAAAAGCGATGACGGGAAGCATCTCATTCTCAACGCCAGCAAGATCTACATCTCCAACGGCGGTTTTGCCGAGGTTTTCACCGTTTTTGCCCAGGTTTGAAAATCTAGGCGTTTTAATCTCATTTTCTTATTTAGCAACCGATAAAGCAAGCTGACGGCACGACGAAGAACAAGATGACGGCTGTCGTTGTCGAGAAGGCTTTCGGTTTGATTTTTCGAAATGATAATTACTTATTCATCAGGCGGTGTTTCCGCTGGGGCCCCGGAGAAGAAGATGGGCATCAAGGGCAGCAACACTGTCGCAATGAACTTCGACAATGTCAAGGTAGCTATTTTCACAATTCTTCAAAATAAATTTTTAGATCCCGATCGAGAATGTTCTCGGTGGTGAGGGCGAAGGCTTCAAGGTGGCCATGAACATCCTCAACAACGGGCGTTTCGGAATTCCGGCCTCGATGACCGGAACGATGAAGTACGTCATCCAAAAGACGGTAAGAAAGCTTCCCGCGGTCAACACTTTCTTTTTGTCCAGATTGACCAGGTCACCCAGCGCGTCCAGTTCGGCAAGAAGCTCGAGGAATACGGAAATGTCCAAGAGAAGGTGATATCTGGAGTTTATATGGCGTAATCTAACGATTTTAGCTCTCCCAAATGATCGTCAAGCACTACGCGTCCGAGTCGATCGTCTACATGCTGGCCGCCACGATGGACGCCGGCGTCAAGGATTATCAGCTCGAGGCTGCTTGTGGAAAGATCTTCACCTCGGTATTTCCGTTTTAATATTCTGAATAGATTTTATTATTTTAGGAAGCCGCTTGGTGGTGCACGGACGAGGCTATCCAACTTCACGGTGGATCCGGCTTCATCCGCGAGACCGGCCTCGAAGTCTTCTTGCGCGATCTTCGAATTTTCCGCATTTTCGAGGGAGCAAATGATGTTCTGCGCCTTTTCGTCGCCCTCACCGGAATTCAGGTGCTTATTCAAAAAAATATTATTCCTATGGAGTTTTTACAAATCTGTAGTTTGAAAAAAATCATAAATTTTTGTTTTAGCACGCCGGTCTCCATCTGCAACAAACGGCCCAGGAGATCAAGGCTGGCGGTATCGGCACGTTGTTCGGCGAGATCACGAAGCGTGTGACTGGGTGAGTCGGTTTGAATTTTTCGGCTAGTTATTTTTGATTTCCTTTTGGTCACTTACTTTTGTTTTTTAGTGGAAACACTGGTGGTGACTTCTCCGCCGCCGTCCATAAGAACTTCTCCACCGAGGCCGGCGCTCTCGACTCGGCCATCAAGGATTTCGGGTCGACCGTCGAGAAGTTGTTGATCCAGCACAAGAAGGGCATCATTGGTAGGCAGGAATCTTCAACCCCATTCCCTCTTTTTTTTAGACCGGCAGTTCGAGCTTATCCGTGTCGCCGACGCCGCCATCGACATTGTCGCCCTGGCGTGCGTGCTGTCGAGGGCCACTTTCTCCGCGCAACACGGATCCCCGTCACTGGAGCACGAGAAGGACATCGTGCAGCTGTTCACCAAGCAGGTCAGCCTCAATATATTTTTGAGATTTAGGGTACTCTGTGTTAGCGTGGCGCAAAGCTAAATGTTATATTTTTACGCTATCTGCATATTGATGAAGTATAATTTTTTTATAATTGTAGGACTTTGCGATAATTTTCCCTGTTTTTCAAAAGCCTGAAAATTCGAAGTTTCCAATTGTGACGATTTTTCATAGATCTTTCACCAAAATGTCGTTATTTCGGATGTTTTGATTTTTTTTGTCAGGGGATGATTAGAAATAGTAATAATAACAGTCATAGGAAAAGGTTATAATGTAAATTTTCAGGCCCTCAACCGCATCACCGACAACCTGAAGGTGGCCCGTGAGGGAGGCTCCGGCGAGGTGAACCTGATCACGAAGATCGCCCGGGATGTGTGCAAGAACGGCAGTCTCCCCTTAACCACCCGACCCAGTTGTAAATACTACTGTTGTTGTCTCTCATTGAGCCCCTCCCCTAGCCTCTACTTGTAATAATCAAAACTGTGCCATTTTTTGTTCATTGTCGATATGCATGTATCAAAGACTTAGACGCTCTCGGGCTCGCTCAACTTGTGCCTTATCAAATTCACGCTGTTTTTTTACTAATACCCATTTTTTCGATCAACCGGGTACTATCTCTCATTTTCTAGGTGGTAAGGACCGATCCAATAAATTATTATGAATTGAGATCACGATCACACTCGTTGGGGCACATTATCGGGGCTTGTGTTTTTGGATGAAGCTGACTTGGATGGGGATTGTGTTGTCCATCAACTAAAAGAGCTTTTTGAAGCTGTATTTCAGAAATTCTCACCTGATCATGGTTCATTCCGTCTCGTTTTACAAAGCCCGTTCCACCCAAAATCGGACTTACCGGTCTACCACATGCCCGGAAACCGACCTGAATTTCGTCTAATTTTCACTGTTTCTCGGGCTCACCTTCTCATCACTCGTCGAAAATAGACTGAAGACGAACAAGCCCTCGTATTTTGTTTGATGGTTGATGTCCTATGAAAATATAACGCTATTTTTAGAGAAATGTACTTGCAGGAAAACTGATTCACAATGTAGGCCCGTTCTCCGGTTACAAGTGCCAACCGGAATCGGAATTGCACATAGCGAGCTTCCATAATTCGCTCCGGCCACTGATAGGAAGGTGTCGATCAGCTCGGTAAGTGGAGGGCCTGAACCGGAAATAGGTTTGAAGCTTTTTCATTTGAACATACCCAGAATTTCTCGCGTGTCCATGCATTGACCGCCCAAGATAGCTTTCCTTGCCAGCGGTGACCCCATTGAGTATGCAATGACGTCGACGGCGGTCCCGGTGTATTGCCGAACGGCGATGATCATCGATCTAAAGGTTTCTACTTTACAGAAACCCCCCATATTTACCTGATCTGCTTCACGTACGAACACTTCATATCCACCAGCCCGACCGGTGTCGCCCCACCATCACCCCACGTCGTCCCGTAGATCTCCGAATTTCGGTATCCATGCTGCCGCAGATATTTCACTGTGCCCTTGAAGAAATTTTTCGCGTAAATGGGACTCACGTGGAATCGGGCGGCCGTGTTGGTGATGCCGTGGATGATGATGACGGCTTGTTGTTTGGGCTCTTCGAATTGGTCCATGCGCCCGCCGAAAGAAGCGCCCGGACCGAGATCTGATTTATGGTTGATATTATAAGAACTTTATACGATTTTTTGGTGTAAGCTCTTTGTGCAAAACGATGACCAAGTTTGAGATAAAATAAGGACATAGGCTATACCTTTGTAATTTTTAACGACGTTTTTAGGTGCATGAATTTGGCTTTAGAACAACGATGAGGGGCAAGATAAATTAATGCCACGGCCGATGCCTTTATTTATATGTTTCAACGAATTTATACTTTTTAACGCGCTTATGATTTATTGAAAGTTCTAGATAAAATAAAAAGGCCTACCCGTCCGCTCCAACTGCGTCACCATCGATATGCCATAGCTATCATGAAGGAACCGGCGAAAATGTGGGGTAAAATCGGCAAATACAGCGGAAATCAACGCCCAAAACAGCAGAGGCTTCATCCTACTCTAATATCTCGAGATCTGGGTGAGTCGATCGAGGTAGGTGTGACTGTTTGTCCTGCCCGTGGCAGAGAGCCTTGAAATTTCACCACGGCATCAAAGCCATTCGCGTGCCCTAGGGGGTGGAAATAAAAAGGGAAGACGCGGAACCGGTTCGCCATAGTATCACTCATCGCTCGACCCCCGCGGGCAGGGTGGAAATAAATCCGGAAAACTGGACGGTTGTATTGTGATTTGCAACGCTGGATAGGAGGGTGATGGCTGTAATTTTTCACGAGAAACCCTTGTCTATTTATGTTTTGTTAGCAACATACAAGTCTTTATTACATAGTCCACCCCGGCTTAAAAATGAAGATTTAGGATCCCGCGCTTTTCCGCCGATTCGTGAGATCCCTGCCGTGTATTCTTTGATTTTCCGACTTTTTGAGTTGTTGGGATGATCGTCGTTTTCTTTGTTGTCGTCTTCTTCGTTGTCGTGGTCGTCACTGAATGATTTTTAAGTAGCGCTATTTTGAAATATTTTTATACTCAGCGTTTGGAGCGTTTTTTCTTTTAACATCTCCGTTTTTCTACCTTTTTTCGGCATTGTCCAGGGTCGTTTAGAGCCTTTTACTTTACTGGTCTTCACGCTTGCCGGCATCGTAATTTTCCGGTCTGAAGTTGTTGGCAAAACCGTAGTAGTGCTGGTTTTCTGCTCGACCGTCCGGCCTGGCAGAACCGCATCTTTTTCCTCACCCGTTTCCTCCCAGAAGTAGTCATCTCAAATAATTTTCAAAAACTTCTAGGAGCTTTTCAGAAAACTACCGTCATCATCATCGTCATCGTCATCGTCCTCCCCACATACAGAACAAACGGAGCACGCGTCACAAGTGCCCGTAGAATTGGTAGCTACAGTTGTGGTAGTCGCTTCTGGCTAAATAGTTGGTGTTTTCGTAGTTTAAGGTAGTAGTATTTTGTTAATGTTATCGTTGGTATAGTTATAGCTAGTACCTCCTCTGTACTTGCAGTCACATTCTGGCCACTTGGAATGTTGATCCATTGGTTTGGTTTGTCTAAAGGCAAGCCTATTACTAAAAAGTTCTTCGTTTTACCCTCGGTAGTCCCAAATTGAAGAATCGTAGCCCAATAAGAAGTTAACGAACATGGATCTGTTCCATTCCGTCTGAGTACTCGAACGTAGCCGGATTCTCCCCACGTGGGCCCCCAACTAAAAAGCTTTACCGTCGAAGTCTAGCACTTTCAGGGTGACGACAACACACTTGTCGCTTCAGTTGATTTGTGCACTCCCTGTGGGGAATGCGTTCCAAAATTTGTTCGAAACACTCTTTGAAGAGGTCTCGGGGTTAATGCTAACCTCAAACTTGGGTAATTAAACCGAAGCTGTGGATGGGTGGGGGCTCTTCTCACATATCGACACTCCAGGTTGATGTGTCTATGCGGGCAGTCCCACAGCGAGCGATCTCTCGTTGTCTACGTCTCGGAGTGTCTCGTACTCCCTGTGCCATACCATTCCCCTCCTTCCGATTCACAGTGCCCCCTCCTGATCGGAAAGTATCGAAGTGTTCTAGAGAGACGCAGACAGCGAGAGATCGCACGATGGGTGGTTGCCCGGATAAACACATCGACCTGGAGTGTCCATACGTGAGAAGAGCCCCCACCCATCCACAGCTTCGGTTTAATTACCCAAGTTTGAGGTTAGCATTAACCCCGAGACCTCTTCAAAGAGTGTTTCGAACAAATTTTGGAACGCATTCCCCCCAGGGATTGCACAAAGATACGAAGAGTGAATTGAAGTTACTTGGCTTTACCTGTTCCTGATGATCCAATACTGCTCGGTAAATCCGACTATAACCACTGCATGATTGATGGTAGAAGCACAGGGCCCATCATAAATTCCTGAAAAAGAGGGATACCTAACTTTTAGAGAGAGAGAGGTACCGCCTCCATAAGCGTATAGCTCATCAGCAACTGCCATTCCGACAGCCACTGGCCCTTTCCGGACACGATCCTCCATGTCTTGGCTGAGACTGATGAACTTTGAGGTGGTCGTCTTGTTGGTGGTGGTGATGAAGCCTGAATTGCTACGGATGTGCAAGCTATGGATTTTGTTTGCCGCGCCCGTTGCTTGCGTAGCGGAAAAACGGGAAATCTACAGGATTCATCTAACCGGAAAATGCACAGTAAAACAACTAGCAGAGTTCCTTGGTCTTTCCGAATAAATATTTCCACTAACCCGTATCGAAGCTCGACACCCTCAGCGAAGACCCGAACCCGCTGAGGAGACATGTGGCGTTGCTCTTAAAGGGAGAGTGACAGCAAAGGTGACATACTTACACTGCCACGGAAGGGGTAGGTAGCAGAGGTAGTTAGGGATTTGGTTGATAGATAGTTGGTGGCTACCTAAACCTTAATCTTGACCTAAACATTGGCCAACCCGCATTTGAACCTTCCTTTTTCAAATTTTTTTTTGGGAGGTTAAATCTACCTGAAAATACCCTCCATCACAACCTTTGTTCGCCAATCCGTAAGTGGGATCGACTTGGCGGTCACAGTCCAGGATTTGTTGGACCTAAACGACCCAGAATTTTGCAAAAAATGGGCACTACCGATAGCTGGGGTGTTGGTACGCCTTTAATGGACAGCCATCCTTCTAGGAGACCATTCTAAAATTGGTAATATGACCCGAAAGATGTTAGGATGCGCAAGTATCGACTCCATGTCTTGCTTTCTCTCTCTCTCTCTCTCTATCTTTCGACCTACCATCGCAAATCCCCAACAACCTCCACAGCTCCCCTGATCCATAATGTCCCCAAAGTACGGCCGCCAATCCACTGTTGCGTTCTCGGCATCACGCTTCTTACGGGCAACTGGAGCAGCCGCTTCTGAAGCTTTGCAAGTCGTATAGCTCATTTTCGTCTACCTGTTGTCGGCACGGTATCGAACGGTTGTACAATGAGTGAAAGCGGAGCCCGTTCTGTACTTTTCTGAAACTTTACTGCTTTATGTTGATCCGCAGCCCACCATGACGCTAAATTTGTTGAGCACTTCTTGATACAGTGTCTCTCCGGCTTCATATTTTTCGTTGTGAGCATCAACTTGGACCTTTTGCTGCTCATATTTTGCGTAGCGGTCCAGGCCGTCGGTGGCGTTAAGCTGGATACCTAGAGACGCCAGAAAATACACCGCACTTGGTTGTGTTCATGTTTTTCTAAAATTACGTGGTAAAATTATACTCACCCAAATCCATGAGCTGATTCGTCAATTCATTAAATTTCTCGTCAGCTTCAAGGATCTGTTGATAGCGTTCAGAGTCTGGAAGTGTAGTTGTGGTCGGCTTCTTTGTAGTTGAAGTAGCGGTAGTGGGAGCTAAGGTTTTTAATTTATCTAGCTAAAGTGCTATTGAACCTACGAGCACAAGTCCCGCACATTACCGGACAAACATCGCCGATTGTCAGCAGGAAATTGCCCTGAAATTTGATAAAAATTCGTGGTCTCATGAGGATTCTACTTTCGCATATGAAGGCAGGAAGATGGCGACGATGCAGGAGCACTTTGCCTTCACGCTTGATTTGGCCACCGGGCCAAGCATTAGGGTAGGACAAACCGGGTCATCGGTGCAGTTTCCTAAACGTAGTCCTAAACGTAAAAAGGGACCGCTAGCTGCATTTTGTCGGAATCGAGACAAAGCTCTCAAAATTTGTAAAACAACAGCAGAATAGCAAAAAGCCTACGACACTCGGGATTCCCAAGCCGTCTCCGATCCAAGTACTAACCGAGCCCAACGTTGCTTAACTTGGCAGATCGGACGGGATGCCGTGCTTTCAACGTGGTATGGTCGTAGGCGAGGGGAGGAAGATTAGGGGGCTTCATGAGGGACACGCTTTAAGTTGTTTTCTTCAACCTTCATCATCCCTCTAAACGCCCTTCCCCTCGCCTACGACCATACCACGTTGAACGCACGGCATCCCGTCCGATCTGCCAAGTTAAGCAACGTTGGGCTCGGTTAGTACTTGGATCGGAGACGGCTTGGGAATCCCGAGTGTCGCGTAGGCTTTTTATCTTTTTTTTCAATGATGTAGTTTCGAAGTTGTCAGTTTTCAGCTGATTTCTATCCGTCGTATTTTCAATTCGTCCAATCGGCAATAGATCAATTACCTGCAAATACATCGATCGCAAACAGTGGCACCGCGTAGAATATTCGTCTCATCTCGATCCTACGAACATTGGAGTGGGCTCAAAAATCCCGCTACTGGCAGCAGCCTGGTATGGAATTTGGGGCTGCACAAACATGGCGAGGGGCTAGGTGAAAATCGGTTGCAAAATTTCGAGGGTAAACGTTTTTCAAGAGATGTGTAAGCACATTTTAATAGATTAATTTGCATAGAAAATATCCTTAGCAAGGTACCTTGATTCCCACAAAATCGAGCGTTTTACATGAACGGACTTCCAGAAATTAACAAACAAAAATTTACATCAATTCGCACCGGAAGGCTTCGACAAATTTGCAAACCCGGAAGCCTGCGTATATTCCAGCATTTTGATTTTGATACTTCACTTTGGTAGGTCCGTCCGCCTGCTTCCCTTCTTCTACCGCTTCTAGTTAGAGAGCTGTTTCCGCGAAATGTTCTTAAATGCGCCGCGCATCCTAAACGCGAAGGCTTCCGGTAAATGCGAAAAGGTTGGTGCTTTTTTGATTTCGCTAAGTTTTGACACATTTATTGCAATTTTTTATTTGAAAAGTTTAAATGACGTTTTTCTAGATAAATCGCGACGGCCTGCTGAACACGACGGAGAAGAACTACCAACAGATTGTCTGCCGACGCTGCCATTCCATCGTTTTCCCGGTTAACGCCGTCATCTACGTGGAGAGTGGGGTTTTACGGGATTTTGGCATGTGGTGTATTGGTTGTGGTCTGGGTTGCCAAGCGTGTGACCCGGGTTCAATCCCCGCGGGTGCGGGACGTTTTGCTTTTTGCTCAAAGCTCCTGAATTGACTATTTATGGCTGGAAAATCAGTTTCTTAGGCTGAAAAATTGGAATTCACGGACTTGCCCATTTTTTCAGAATTTCCCGTGAAGCTGCCGGTGATGTCGCACCAGGGGAAGGGCAAGGTGCCGTTGGAAGAGGTGGGTCTTCAAGATTGCTTTCGATCTCGCTCGCTCTCTCTCGCTCTCTCTCTCTCTCGCTCGCTCTCTCTTCGTCTCTCTCCTTCTCCCACCCTCTCATTCCAGATCTCGTGGTGGTGGTACACGCACGACGACCTCGACTTTGACACCGTCGGCTGGCAGACGATCAACGGCAAGAAGGTGAATGCCCAATTCGGCGAACCCCCAAAAATCTACCACCACTCAGCCTTCCCGGTGCCTTTAGAAATATTGGTCGACTGTTGATGGGAAGTGTAGGTTCTAGATTCAGGTGCTGATGTGTGGGGACTGCGAGTTCGGCCCGTTCGGCTTCCGCACCGACGACAACAAGCACTTCTACGTGGCTGTCGAGAGGGTACGGTGGACCGCACGCCTGTATTTTCATAGCGTATTAGGCTGTAGCGTACGCGGCAGCGAAAAAATGCCTGCTTTGCTGGTCCATTTAAAATCAATTTCCACCCTTTCAGATGCACTACCTCGAGCCGGAGGAGGCGTCTTCGAACAAGTAGCCACCAGAACCCGCTACCGTACCCCATTGGCCACTCGTCTACCCCATCAACAAAACCCCAAGCCACGCCCATTTCCGTCGAATAAATCGATTTTATCTGATTCAATTTTTATTCGAATTATGCATTTTTCACGCGACATTTGTACAGCGACAACGCATCAAAAAAACTTTAAAAATCAAGCGAATCGAACGTCAACAAGTGCAATGGGCCAAAGAGAGAAGGGAAATTTCGAGAGCACAGAGAAAAAGCTGAGATCACGGGGGTGGATGGGTTTTTGGGGATAGGAATTAAAAAAAACTACGGTAATGTGTATGGCTATTTCCGCTCCAACTGCTCCTTCTGGATGCGTTTCGTGACCTTTTTGATGTTGTTGAGGTAGTACTGCTTGGTGGTTGGGTGGACCTGGAATTGGAAATGGTATGAACGCATCATTAATGTGTGAATACGTGGTATTTGGGTTCCTTAACGGGACTGCCAAGGTCTCAAAGGGGCCAGGATTTTGCCATGGATCTGTCATGGCTTTGTCACGCGCACAGCCAATAAGTCATAATCGATTACGCAACGCAAGTCGTACGTACGCGTTGCGTGTCGCGGGAGTAACAATTCAAAGCTAAAGCCTTCTCTTTACCCTTTTTTGAGGGGCGCAAGTGCGCAAATTTTCTGGGCTATATGGGGGTAATCCCTCAAAATATGTTGAAAGCCGCCGCGCGACGCAACGCGCGGGCAAGGAGAAATTGGTGCCATGCCTTATACGCTCCTTTAAAACGCAACCTCGCTCAAAAACTTGAACCTACGGGAATGTCAAATATAACCGGACTGTTCACCAGGTCCAAGTTATGGTCCGTCGAGCAGCAGTTGATAAACTTGGTGTACCCGTCCGAGCTGCAGCCATATCCTAAACCATGACCTTTATACCGTGATTGCTAGCTCATTGCTCGCTTTTTTAATAGATACGACTCCACTACATACTACGACCGACTTACCCTCATGAATATGACCGTAGACGTGGTACTTGGGCTTGACCCGCTTGACGACCGTGTTCAACAACTCGACGCAGCCCATCCGCTGCCCGTTCGCCATTAGGTCACCGTGGCCTGGAAAGGAGGTGAATCTGATGCGCTATAGGGGATGCTGTCCCTGATCAAGGCCCCAAACCTCCATGCCCTCGCCTACGACCATACCACGTTGAAAGCACGGCATCCCGTCCGATCTGCCAAGTTAAGCAACGTTGGGCTCGGTTAGTACTTGGATCGGAGACGGCTTGGGAATCCCGAGTGTCGTAGGCTTTTTGGTGCTTTTTTAGGGCCCTTTTGTGTTTTTGGAACTTTTACTAACCGAGTGGTGGTGTATGCGTGATGAGGACATCAACCCCAGTCGGGATCTGATTCCATTTCTCGAGCAGCGGAACCCCGCGCGACAGGTTGAAGGCCCAGTTGTCGACGCGGGGTTGCCTAGAACCGTTTGAGCTGCTTGATCTCGATCCTACCATGGTGTTCCGTAGATGGTAATGCCGAACAGCTCGATGACCTCGTCCTGAAGGTAGAGACCGTTGGTGAGGAGCGGGCGTGGTGTTGTCATTTTTGCGGAATGGAGGGCGGAGAGGAGGGCTTGTTTCAGGGCTTCTTCTTTGGCCTCGCCGATCTCGCGTTCTGTATGGAATTGATAGAATGGACTTTGGATGATGAAATGGCAGGAAACTAACTGCATTCTAAAATCTAGAGCCTAATTTCCAAATACGGCCCCAAAAACCCACTTTGTGACTTTAGGAACGTCTCGTCAAATGTGCACTCATGATTTCCAGCGATCAGGATACGGTAGGCGTGCCGGGTATTAGCTAAAACACGGTAAAACTAGATTTTCAAATGTTCCAAACCTAGTTGCGCATTAAAATTCTTCACTTCCTTGGGCAGGCCGCAAGACGTGAAATCGCCGGCCACTATCAAGACGTCGCCATCTGAATTTATCTTTTTTAATGGGAGGGTGACAGCTGCAATTACCTGGCAAATGTGGAAGTGGCTGGCCGTGCGTGCAGGAGACGCACACAAATCTGACGTGGTCGGGTCGGATTGGGGTGTCGAGCTTCATCTGGAAGAAGATCAATAAAAATGGATTAGCATCTCTCTCTCTCTCTCTCTCTCGCTCTCTCTCACTCTCTCTTTCTATCTTTACCTGAATTACTCGCTTCACCGGCCGTTTTGCTTTCAACATTTCCCAAGCGACCGTCGGATCTTCGGTATATTGGTGTGGCTGGATCTGAAAATTAAAATCTTAAAAATTACTTAAATCACGGCGTTTTTAGTACCATCTCGGAAACCAATCCCCTCCCCGGTTTTTAAAGGCGGCCTGACACCAAAAATCCCCATCCATTTTCGACAAAAAGCTCGTAAACAATCAGCACATTAATGGCACGCTGGGCATCGGCTTCTTGGCGCTGCTTGAGGATGAGGCTCCATTTACGCTCGGGGGTTGTCTTCTTCTCATTTGTCTGATCGGCCTCCTCATGGATGGTTGTGGCTTCAGCGAGTCTTCTAAGTGGGCGGCGCTCCTTGTCCCTGATGCTCTTCCGGCGGACCTCCTCTCGGACGAGGTCGCTCAGCGCTGAGTTACTGTAGAAGGAGCCCCGCTTCGAGAACATCTGCAGGTTGGGGTTAAAGTTGGACGAGGAAGAGAGAGAGAGAGAGAGAGAGAGAGAGAGAGAGAGAGATTCACAGAAATCAACACGCTACATTCCTACACCAAATTCCGAGACACCCCTAAAAACCTGCGATTCCCCCAGCTTCCTCACCCGGTCGATTAACCCCATAAATCCGAGTTCAATTAGTCGCCCCAGCACCGCCTGACTTCCCCCCAAAAGCCCATAAAAACCCGTGGAAAAGACGGACTTAAGTCGAGCCAAGCTGGGCGTCCAAATGGCCCTGGGGTCATGTCCTCATGGCCTTTCGGCTGGAAGTGTTACAGCTAGCCACACAACATGGCGCCGTTTTTCCACGGATTGGCACGTAGTCCGAGGCGTTTTTAGGAATGGAACGGAAGGGGGTATCGGGTCGCAAAGTTTGGGAGGAGAGTATTTGCAGCTTTTGCTTCCGGGCGCCGTTCGGGGTTTGGAACAGTTGGGGAGAGAGAGAGAGAGAGAGAGAGAGAGAGAGAGAGAGAGTTCTTCAAAACCTAACAGCTCTAAAAAATATAGACAAATTTTCTAGTAAAGTTTTCCGAAATAGCCAGATAGCCTCCAAAAAACTTTGAACATCTCCGGCAAGGGATCGCCCGAGATGTCCATCTACCCCAGAGCTCTATGGCCCCCAAAAATCTGGGGGTAAAAACGGGCGATCAGTCTTTTCCGCTCGACAACCATCACCGTGACGATCAACCCTCGGGCCCCCCCCCCCCTCTCTCTCTCTCTCTCTCTCTCTCTCTCTCTCTCTCCCTCTGTCTCCAGCTTTTTCTCGCTCGAAAGTTGTCCAACACAACCCGGCAGAGATTGAGTCCCGAACCTCGGATGGGGCTGGCTGAACAAAAATCGCGCCGGGATGCCAATGGCTGCTCAAATTACAGGA